GAATAAATCCAATCCAATCCCATCATTTGAATATTTAGAGTTGCTACAGTAGTGGCAGGTGACAGATTTAATACTAAAATTAGAGGAAGAATCAATGGTGGAATGGGCTATGATGCTTATGAATTAAAAGACATGACATGAAATTGAAACACTAAAAAGAGGACATAACTAAGACATAGGTATCGAAGTAGAGTTTCCAATAAGATGTGAACAAAATAAGAGAAATTTGGGAAGATATGTTTGTATATTATAAAATATACAGTATGTTATCAAAATGTATGAAAATATTTTAAGTCAAGAAAGAAAACCATTGTACAATGCTTCATATAAATTAAAAACAGATGGCTTGATGCAAAATGAAAGAAAAATGGGAAGATAATTATGTTGATCAAATCTTAAGTCCCTAAACTAATGTTTAGTCTCAGTCTATATAGTGATTGTTACCATAGTGAGGACACTGTATTTTTCTACACCACTGTTTCATAATTTGTTTAATCATAAATGTATGTGGAATTATTTTGAGATGTATTATAATTGAATTTTATCTTATGATATTAATAACATTATTACATTTTAATTTTTCATTATACATTAAAGTGTGGTTGTTATGGTAATGACGTTTTGTTCTACAAACCACTGCATAAATTTCCAAAATTATTTTATATGGAAATTAAAAACCATATTGTGATGCAATACATGAAATTATATTTGAAATTGATTATTAATGTTCTCCTATGATATTTAAGTTTTATATATTTTAGTTGTAATGATTCACTGTTGGTCTGATAAAATGAAATAAATATTAATAAACATTTAATAAACATTTTTCATTAAACTTACAAGTTTTCATTAAGTCTGCTAGCAATGGTTGCTTTGGTGATTACCTATTTTTAACATTATTATGTACACCTTTTTTTTAAACAAAGACCGTGTGTTATTTAAAGATATGTAAAGCCAAATAAACAGAAATTCTAGTGATTTTTATTCATTGCTATGGCGATAACTATCAATATTGTATTCACATTAATATGTTATCTTTAATTTATGTTATCTTACAATATTAATATTTACTAAACATCTCTCACGAAACCTTTAAATATATTAATAAATTTCAGGATTTCATTTTAATAATTTACAAAAAATAGATATTTCAATTAGCAACAGTTGCTATGGTGATGATCTTGCTTTCATACTAAATTGTGTTATCTTTTTTTCATAAATCCTATACTAATTTATTATACTTTAGGTCTTCATTATATAATTATTTTATGAAAAAAATAATAAATTCAAATTTGCATAGCAACAGTTGCTATGGTGATGACCTTGTATTTCATACATCAATGTGTTAACTTTGTTCAATAAGAGATGTTTATTATATAAATATATTGTATCTCATGATTTTTGCTTGGTCAATGACAAATGTATGTGCGATTCTGCTGATTTTGCTTCGTTGCTATGGATGATAAAAAGAGTGTTGCTATGCAATTATATTAAAGTTTCAGCATTTTTTTACATAATCCTATTCTACGATAATAATAGATAATTCAGATGTTAAACATATTCATAAAACCTATGAAAATAAAGAATTTAATAAACTTTAATCTTCCTGTATACTTCAATTTCATGAATAAAATAGGAAATTTAAATTTACATAGCAACGGTTGCTATGGTGATTGAAATTGTAGTTTTTCTTAACGCAAGATTCATTTTCGATAATTAAAGAATATTTTGAGTAAGTTTCACCAATTGTTGATGATGATTATTCGAGTGATGTTATTTTTTATATAATTTAGCTAAAACTATAATTTAAAGCGGAAAAATGGCGGCCATTTTGAATGCGTAATTTGGAGGTGTTCCCCCTAAGGGATTTTGGGTAATTTTGAGTTCTGAAAATAATCTATATTTCTGCGTGATTTGTTAAACCTAAGAGTTTGTCAGGGCCCCTTAACTAGGTCGGTAGAAATCTTCTCTGTAAATGTAAAGTTGCCTTAATACTGACAAGAATACGATGCCCTGTAAGGACATAGTTTATTAAAAAAGGGTTTTCCATCGGAACCCCCAACCCCACCCCTCCGCCATTTGCAATTTAAGGTGAGGTGTGAGGTGGGGATCGTCGTATGGCTGGACCAACACAAATTGCTTCCGACGCGCCTGCGTACATGCAAGTGTTTTAGACAAATTGTTTATGAGCTGCAGGGTCAATTTTGTTCTATAAGTTTTAACAAGTACAATTCAAACATGCCTTATTAAGCTGTCAAATATTGGGGATTAAAAACTGTTTAGTGCGAGCAGTGCTACCATGTGCGAGGTGTCGTATACTATTGCGATCGTATGGGTTGCAGTGGTGCCAGCTGTTCCCTAACATGGGGCTGGTACCTCCGACAAGGGGTTAGTATCTCCGACTGGGGGACTATTAACTTGCATGGTTTTCTATAAAAATCCCATAATTAACGCAAAATTTTAATATTTTTTAATAAAAAAATTCCCCTACAAATTTAATTTTCCCCAGGGGAAGGCTTCCATGGCATAGGGGTGGGGTGGACCCCATGTCGGGGAGCTTGGACCCCTCGTTGGGGAATTCCTGGCGCCGCCCCGGGTTCACTGTATAGTAGGCTATGTTAGGTTATTTTACTTTTTATTTATTTTTTATTTCTTTCTTATCCTGTTTATCCAATAGCAGGTGACTCACCACCATTTACAGATTAGAATTGAGATAAAAGTATAACCCATAAGTAGCAGCGCTATTGTACTGTATTGCGTATGGGCGTGGTCCATGACTACCCAAGCCTTCGTAAAGAGCTTTACGTTCACATCATTCCACGACAAGGACTAAAATGACCAATAATAGGCCCTATCGGGGTAATCAGTGCAATGCCTACTCTTCCGAAATATACAAGGTCAGATGTGTACGCCAGGCGTCGCGAAGAGCAGGCCCCTGGCTCCCGTCGGGGAGAAAAACCACGATTTGTCGGGGGCGAAAAAAAATATGCATTTTCTACATATTATCCCTAAATTGTCATATTTTCCGGACCACTTTCGAAAGATCTTAATGACGCCCGACCACGCCCACTTTGCTCTCATCGGCCCGGTCGAGAAAATCTTGGTGCCACCCTGCTGGACCGCCATCCTTATCCGAGAAGTCTGAGTTCTACCAACCGAATTCTAGGCGCCCCTGCCTTACCGCTTGAAATGGGAAAATTATTTTGAATAATGGATGGGTCATTAATTTAATTAATGAATTAAATAAATGACTGAAATAATGAATTAATTCATATATTATACTGTATTTATAAATTATGTAATTAAATACATTTTGTATGAATAAGTTAACGAATGAATGTCACGGCACGCAAAGTATTAACCAGGGATGGAATTTGAAATATGTTTAAATGCGCTCGATGCAATGAATGTCATTTCTTCATAATTAATATTATGGAAAATGCATTACTAATGCAGCATATAAAATGGCTAGTATTCCATGTTAATCTCTCTGAAGGTATTCAGAAAAATATCTTTGTCAATAACAGATAATTTCACAAGACAAACAATAATATTTTACACGCATTTATTGTTTTAAACTCCTAAAATACTATAGCAAGCCTCTGTATATTTCATCAATAATAGAGATCTCTAAAACTTTGAAGGATTTTCCGGGTGAAGAAGTCAAACAAAGTTCTGTGTCTGTCTCAAGAGTAAAATATTAATTGTACAGTACTAGCAGTCTTAAGACAGCTGAGAAATGACATCAACAAAATAAACGTGTAAACCCGTTTATGACAGCATTGAAATGATATAAATATTATTACATTTTTTTTTATTGCGCTGAGGGTACCGGTACCAAACAATCATAATCAATATATTATACAGGTTTCCTTCCAATTAAAGACCAATTATCTGTGGTCTCAAATTATCAAATGTTTCTTTTATTTTCTTTTTACTCCAATTTGAAAGCAAACCTACTAAGGAACATGAAAACCCCGGTCCCAGAAATGGTCTTAAATTAGGAGACCTTTATATTGTCTGAGAACGCTTTTAAATTCTAATTCATTAATAAATAACGATATGTGTTACATTAACGTATTTTCTAATGAAAATAATAGGGCATGCTTACTCGTTTTAATTAATATATTACTGTATGTTGCAAGATAACTTTTATAGGTTCACCAACATGCCAGGTCAATATTGCGCCCAGGATAAGACTAATATTTTTGTTTCGAATGGTGTTAATGCAATGCAGTAGTTATTAATAACCCATACCGTACTGTAACATAGAAATATGAGTTGTGACGAACCGTATGCACAGATCCCAAATCGTTATTACAGTAAATATAACATTAAACTTTTTTTTCGATCCCTATCAAGACATATCTTCAAACACGGGAATCCTGGTGGGCAAGGCAATAAATAATAAAGTTGGAAACTTTAATGTTATGTTCAATTATATCCCTTCCATGCAAATGAATTTAAAATTCCAATATCCCTGAGCCTTCCTTCAGGTACTCGTCTTGAATCGGGAACCCTGTCGTCATAATTCTTCGTCAGCCGTTCAAGCATTCGGTCAATTTGTTCGGCATTCATCGTCGGATTTGAGCGCTTCTGTAGGCCGAGTTCTCGTCGCTTGGGCACATAGTACAGACGGTTAACCACTTTTTCAACCTCATGGGCGGATGCTTTCTGATATCCTAACCCCATGTTTTTGGGTTTGCTCACTGTACCCCACGGTCGTTTTGACATGATGGATAAGATTTTCTTTGCCACACCTTAAAGTAAACAAAAATGAAATTAGAACACAATGGCCTGTCACACGTCCACACCCATAATAAGAATTCTACAATAATAATAATAATAATAATAATAATAATAATAATAATAATAATAATAATAATAATAATATAATAATAATAATAATAATAATAATAATAATAATAATAATAATAATAATAATAATAATAATAATAATAAT